TGAGATCTGATCCTCTGTTCCTCTCTGCCCTCCTTTCCTGCTAGTTGCCCCTGGTGACTTGGCTCCAGCAACACTGGCTTCTCAAACACATCCAATGTGTTCCTGCCTCAGAGACTTTGCATCTGCAATTCTTTTTGTCTGGAATATTTCGTCCAAAATCCACATGGCTTGCTCTTTCACTCCTTTCAGGTGTTAACTCCAAGGTCACCTTCTTGTTGAAGCCTTAGCTGGCCACCCTATCTATTACATTAAGCCATTAGGAATTGCCAATATCGCACCATCTTTTAACCTATAAAAATATCAATTGTGTATGGCAAAATCTAATAAAATTTAATCTCCCCCCACAACCTCCCTATCTCTCTTCACTGCTTAATGTTTTCCCTTTGCCCTCCTCACCTTATAACCTACTCTAGAATATTTATTTATCATCTTTCTCCTCCACTAGAATGTAAGTTCCAGGAAGATAAGGATTTTTGTTCACTCTGTATTCTCAGAGCCTAGAACAGAACCTCCCACATAGTAGGTGTTAAATATTTGCTGTATGAATAAGTTTCACTGGGACTGGAATGATGAGATTGACAAGCTAGCTACTTAGTGGTAGAGAAATCCAACCAAACGGCGTGTGAATCAATGATGTGCAGGCCCTTCTCCTGCTCAAAATGGGGTGGACATGAGGAATGAAGTCAGTACAGTCTAATAATCCATCACGTGAGAGCTGAGGTAGTTGGAGCTCCATCAAACAAAATCTCACTAATTAGGACTATCGTATATCTTTGAAAAATTCTCCTCACAACTTTGTACAAGATAATTCTTCACTGAAACAAATTGAAAAGGGAATTAGGCAGGAATATTCTTTTTGGTGCAACTGCTGACAGGGTGGAGTCTCCCCAGGGACCCATTCTAGCCCTGTAGCAGCGTCAGAAGACTGCAAGTAAAGGTAAGAACTACTAGAACCCTTGGAAATACATGTCATTTGTCTTTCCCGTTTCTCTACTCTATCTTAGTAGGAAAGGATGCTATCTTCGGACAAAGTTCTAGGAGTAATCGGTGTGGTCTCCTCCCCTGCTAATTCTGCTCTCCCCTGAAATTTAAGGCAAAACTAAAGGGGAAAAAACCTGTTTTCTCTCAGTAATGTCCCCAGTCAAGTACTTCCCAAAGATTCCTTGAATTTTCTCCTTGGAATCCCATACCAGCCACAGCTCCTGAAACTGGTGTCTGGGCAAGAATGAGCCCAGGAGAAGCTGGGTCCCAATTTCAGTTTTACTACTGAATGAACTGTGTGAATTTAGGAAAATCAGACATCCTCTGTGGCTGCACTTTCTCATCTTTACAATGGCTCTTGAAACTACCTTAGAGATTTGTGAAAAATTAGGTTAATAAACATGAAATCACATCATGAAAGATAAAGTACAGAGTGCATTTGTATTAAGATGACACTATGACAGAATTTTGGGACTTATCTTTACACACAACTGGCCAAACTAAAAGAGCAGATGAGTGCTTCCTTCTGACTACAGCAGCACTAAGACAGGAGAGGGCTACACAGGATTCAAGTTTTTGCCTACCCCTCACTGACTCTCAAGTATTCCTTACTTCTTTCTATCTTCGACAGTCCAAGCAAGCAAGACCTCCCACTCCAGTGCATCTGTAGCTTTAATGGAAAATAACCCAGCCTTTGAGTCCCTCTCCTGAAATGAAAAGTTCTTTAGCCTCAAATCTGAAACATGCAAGGACAGAACATCCTCCACGGAAACAGACCCTTTCTTTGAATTTCTTTCATAAGCATGGACAAAGCTTTCATGCCTCTTAGCAGGATGCTTCCTACCTTTCAAAGAACATGTAGAATTAACAAGGGAAGTTCCAGAAGCATTTTGAGAGCACTAGGTCTCTATGACCTTTGTGCCTAATTACTTTTCTAACCATCCCTTGGACTGTAAAATGGGAGCCGGATTATCAATGACTGCTCAGGATGCCTGCAAACCATAATCTTGAAATGCCTCTAGCTCTTCTCCTTTTTATTTGAAACTATATTGAGGGCAAGTAACAAGTCTATGACAAAAATAAGGCAATACTGGTTTGCACTGGTTTATAACAATACTGCACCATGTCTGAGAGGTCTCATGGATTACTCTTTTGATAGGATCAATCAATCAGTCAGTCTCTGAGCAGATACTCCTTTCTGCCTACTCATGTTAGCCTCTGTGCTAGACAGGGATGCGGCTGACAGGTCCTCCCTTTGAGACCTCAAGACAGTGGACAAGCCAGGTCAACCAACAATCCATCATGTGAGAGCTGAGGCAGCTGTAGCCAGCACAGTGGCCCCATGTTGGAAGTGAGGAGGAGGGATATGGGAGGGGTGGGGTCTGGAATTAAACAGAATTTTCTTTATCAAATCCATCATTTCTTTCCTAAACGTCATTTTTCCATCTTACTGTCTACATGATAAACAATCCATTGCCTAATTTTTGAAGGAACTTTAGTAATATTTTATGAAAATATAGGTATAAAACTATAGTGGATTCATCCATAATGGTGTGATAGTTTCTTATAATATTAAATAGGATATGATTTTAAGCCTTAAGAAAACACCTCCCTTATATTCCATGAAACTCAGTGGCACAGATGTAGTAGTTGGCTCATTTCTGCATCAGAATATTTTTCATTCAATAAACTCTACTTAAAAAATAAAGCGCAGGTTTCCTCACTCTCTGAACTCTATCTGAATATTTTCTATAATGATCTGCTAATTTACACAAAATGCATTACCCAAACCTACTAAATAAATCTCTTTTAGGTTGCATGCAAGACTACGTTTAAATCGTGCACTCCTAAGCAAAAGAATGTGGTTTGCTGTTATTATCTCTCAGTCTGATAGTGTCTTGAGTTCACATTGTTTAAACATGTTATGTTTTATAGATATCCTCTTCCCCATGTTATTCAGTAAAAGGTCTTCCAATAAAGTAGAGAATCTAATGATGGAAATGGGCAAGAAGCCTAAAAAAGCACATGCACTACAAGAAAATTAGGGAGTGATAAAGCATATTAATACATTTGAATGGCTATTAGTCTTAAGCTTGGCCATGCACATATCCCCAACCCCTATGAATCACAAATACAATGCTGAATATTTACATGAAATTTGAGGTTCTTTCAAAAACAAATCTTGCTGGTGCAAGTGAGTGTGGTCATGGCAGGAGCAGACTTGTCCCATTCAACAGACAATACAATTGCAAGAGATGTAGAACACCAAGCAAAGGGAATGCAAACAGCCTGCCACCGTGAGCTCTGGTTTTCATCCCATTGCTCTGTGTGTAGCTTCAGACAACGGTTCACAGCCAAAAACCTCTGAACTCTCCTGCCAGGAAGGGAAGATTCTCCCCCATTCCTTAGATCCAGACACAGATGAACCTCAGACATTTCCTGTTTAACTCATTTCTTCACCAGCTCTTTCTTCCTTCCCTCCTCCTGCCACCAAATAGTAACAGTGACCACAGCCTCCAGCTAACCCCCTCTCACCACCAGAGCTGACACAAACATGCTTTCAATCATAAGAAACCTCTCGAAAAATTATCTTGTTTATTTTACTTTGTTAAGTATTATTGGCATGTAATGCACATCCTTAATGTGTTATTTTGTTATTTATTTACATGTACATGTACACTATGATGTAGAAGGAAAATGTAACCCATTCTCAATACTCTACACTGAGCAGTGTCTAATATTATGGCTTACTACATACAAACATACCTACTAATGATGTGGATTAAGGCTGCCCCAGCTAGAGAAGCCCAAGGTGACCTGGCCTACATGCCAAACTATATGACCCAGTGGACTTTTTTTATGATATGAATTAGGACTGCCCCAGGGAGAGAAGCCCAGGGCATCCTCACCTACATGCCGATCTATATGGCCAGATTCGCATCTAAAGTTATATGACCGCACAATAACCAGACCCCATCTGCACTGAAATCATTTAATGACTTTTTACATCATCTTTTCTTTTTTCCAGTAAAAATAAGTCACGTACCCATGCCTTATAAAATTAGCCCTAACCCTCAACTCGGGGCAGCAGCAGGAGCTCTGACTGCCCGTGGGTCCTGTCCCCACGCACCAGCTCTGCCTGCCCATGGGTCCTGTCCCCATGCCAGCGGGGGCAGCAGCAGCTGCTCTGCCTGCCCATGGGCCCTGTCCCCATGCCAGCGGGGGCAGCAGAAGCGGCGGCAGCAGAAGCTCTGACTGCCCATGGGTCCTGTCCCCATGCTATTCCACACTATTCTCTAAATAAAAGAGCACTACTGCCAGATCTTGAGAGTCTAAGAAATCTTTCTTTCGACTCCTCGGCTCACCGACCCCGCATCACTAATGAGTTTATCAAGTAGTAAATAACTAGATAGTATTACAAATAATTTCTATTTTGCAGAAATCCTTGGTGGATTGTTAAATAGATGTAAAAGGGGGTTTTAGAGATATTTGGCAGATTGGCATTTTCTTGTGGGTTAGGAATGCATTTTTATTTTTCCCACTCAAAATAACGGAACGCTGGCTTCTGTTCACTGAAAATATGCTAACAAACAAATGCTAAAGAACAGATTAGATTCCCAAGAAGAGAGACGCCTGTAAATAGCAGCTCCCACGACGTGTGCTTGTTCTTCTACCATCTAAAAGCATCTCAAGAACAAGAGGTAATCAAGTACTATTTTTAAATGTATTGTCTTAATTTGAAAGTCATTAAATATGCCAGATAAGTGTGCTCTACTTATTGCTTTTTTAACAAAAAGCCAATCACTTGTATTTATATTCAGTTGGAAAAATATTAATTATATTAGTCGGGAAAGGGAATTCAGACTAGTAGATTGCTCTTCTGGATTCAACTGTCTGTTGCTGGGTTTTTTTTCATTTTGATGGAAAAAAATATTTGCAAATGTTAATTCTCGCTTCAGTTTTATTTAATAAAAGTGTGTTATAGGTCTCCATTACTTATGCCGGCATTCGCCTCTCACCTGTGCTCCATAGACAGGTGTTCCTCATCCGAATCTTCTATTGCTGGAATGTCCTCAGCAGCTTCCTTTGCAGTGCAAAGTTCCTGCAGAACAACTGGCATTTTAGATACTTAAAATGTACTTATATAGTAAAAATACCGGACACATTTGTATAGAATGTAGTAAATTTGGAAGCAATCTCATATCCAACGTTGCAACCAATCTGTATATCAATGTGAGAAAGGCACTTGATTTTACAGATGTGAAAACTGAGGATTGTAGAAATAATGATTTGGCCCAAGACACACAGCTAGTAGATCCAGGATCAACGTAGATCCATTTCAAAGTTGTACTCTGAGCGCACTGCTCTTCCCACAGTGCTACACAGCCACACTGTAAAAAACAGCCTCTTCCAAAAGCCCTCTGTCCTCACAAGATTTATTCTCCGAGATGACCACTAATATGGAACAAATATCCTAGAAACCCACGATAAACTGGGACAGATCACAAATAGATATCTTTGTGCCATGAGGGGACTAGGGTAGGAGTGGTGTGCCAAATGAGATTCTTCTCTTTCTCAGAGGAGGAAGTAGATATGGGAGGTGACCCCTGAGATGGGATGTCTGCCTTCTCATGGCAGATGTGAGAGCTCAAATCCCAGAGAGCTGCAGAGAGGGGTAATGAATGGGCAATCAGACCAAGCAACTTCCTTCAATTGCTTTTCTCTCTACCACATTTCTCACCATCTTAAATTTGGAAAAATATATCACCACTCTAAAACTGAACGTAAAAGGGGTCCTTCAAAGCTTCTGAAACGTGGTCAGTTACAGCCTATATTTCAAACTAGAGAAAAAGTAAAGCAGCTCTTTCGCCCTCTCTGGATCCTCTAATAACAATAATGATGATAACGACAATAACGATGATCATCATGATGACTGCGATAGCCCACATTTACTAAGTGCTCGCCATGTAGGAGGTGCTGTCTATGTTACTCTTCACAACAACCTTAAAAGGAGGTAGTATTATCATTATTTATAGAAGAAAAACAGAGGCTAAAAGATGTAAGTGACTTGGATAAGGTCCTGCAGCTAGTAGGGGAAAGATCTGAATCGGGCTGGTAAGGAAAGGATCTGAATTCAGGTGGTCTGGATCCAGAGGCCTCTCTTGTAAAGTGATTGGATATGTTGTATGGCACAATGTCATCACAATATTAACATGGCCCAAATAGAGCTTTTGATTTTGCTCCCCTCAGCCCCAGCCCTGCACTGCCCAAGCCACACTGTCCCAGTCTTGCACAAGTCAGTTAGTGGCACTTCCATTCACTGAACTGCTCAGGCCCAAAAGCTAAGAGTCATCTTTAAATCATTTTTCTCTCTCCTCCCACCCACCTCCAACGCATCAGTAAGGACTTCAGGCTCTATCTCCAAAATATAACCTGAATCCGTGTACTTCTCTCTCCATCACTACAATCCTAGTTCAAGCCCTGTCATCTCACATCGCTCCTCTGGCTTCCATTTTTGTTCCCCTATACTCCATTTCCCACCCAGCAGCCAGCCTGATCTTGTAAAAATAACATCGTGGCCAGCCTGGTGATATAGTGGTTGGGTTCACGGGCTCCACTTTGGCAGCCTGGGGTTTGCGGGTTCGGATCCCAGGCACAGACCTCTGCACTGCTCATTGGGCCATGCTGTGTCAGGCGTCCCATATACAAGGTGGAGGAGGATGGCCACCGAGGTTGGCTCAGGGATAATCTTCCTAAGCAAAAAGAGGAAGATTGGCAACAGATGTTAGCTCAGGGCCAATCTTCCTCACCAAAAAAAAATCTAAAAAATCAAAAGTAAAATAAAAATTACATCAGATCATGTCATCCTCCTGCTTTCCACTGCACTTGGAAGAAAACTCAAACTCATTACCATGGTTCTCAAAGTTCTACATAATCTGGCCCCTGCCTACCTCTCGAACCTCATTTTCTACTACTCCTTACTTCTTTCCCCTTATTCTACTCACTTTGTTCCCTGGAACTCTCCAGGCTAGTTACTGCCTCAGAATGTTTACTGCTGTAGAACCCTCTACCTGGACTGCATTCCTTTCTTTGCTGAGTTCGCGCCTTATCATTACTGGGGGTCTCTGTTCGAAAAACAGGTCATCAGAGATCTTCCCTGACCACTCTGTCTGAACTCTCTACCCTACTAGTCATTAGCACATGATTCAGTTTTATCATCTCCATGACACTTTTCAATACTACTTGTCTACTGTCCATCTCCCCTAATGTTTCCTCAGCACCTAGTACATAGTAGGTGCTTACTAAATATGTTACTTAGTGAATAAATTCATTGAGGCTGAATCTATCAGATGAATTCTAAAGACCACTATTTTTAGAGATGGAATCTGTGAGCACTATATTAGGAGAACACTAAGTGAGCAATGCTGCCGGGGAGCTGCCTCAAAACTCACCTCATGACAGAGGCCTTCCTTTATCCACCTGCCAAAATGGTCACTTCTCTTAATACGTCCCAGCTTCTGTAAACCTCTTTTATATTATATAAAAACCATTCATAAGTGACTGTGCATCTCACTCAGGTGTGTCCAGATCTCCACTCAGATGCTCACCTTCTGAAACACAGGGGCTGATCTTTCCTCATTCACATATCCTAGCACAACCTTCTGCACACATCAGGTGCTTTAGCAATGCGGTCCAGTGGCTGAGGGACCAAAGGGGACGTGATCCTTCAAAGAAGGCCCACATCTCCACAATGGGGGAGGCACACACACAACATACTCGCCTGTAGGGTCTGAGGCCTGAGGATACAAACAGTCCCCACCAGATAAAACCGATCCTTCAAAGGAAGATTCACAGCGTATGACTCATCGTAGGAGCGTCTGGAGAAGAAGCTACTGAAGAGCACCAAAAGCTCTAAGGGAGACAGAGTTACACATGTGACAACCTAATAGGAAGGCACGCTAGTTACACAAGAAGACTGACATCTGCCGCATCGGTGTGCTGTTTGTCAGCCCAACGACAATTTTCAGAATTCTGAGCCATCTATTTTGCCTGTCTTCCGTCTGTTCCAGCCCCCTCCTCACCCTGGTCTCCACCAAAACACGAAAAGGTCATTACCGAGAAATAATTGTTCTGAGTTCAGGGTGATTTTCAGTCTCTTGTTCTTACCCTGTGAACGGACATCTTAGTATTCAAAAGAAATCTAGCTCCCCTCTTTTATATAGACCATATGGGTATTAAATGTGTGTGTGTAATTTGTGTGCATATGTATTCAAGTAAGATTTTTTTAAAGGTATCTGACCTTTAGTTCTAAGACATATGACAAACATCTCAGACAACCATTGTGTGAGTTAATTTTCATTATTTATTTACTCATTAATTCATTTATTGGTTATATTTTTAGACCTCAGTGGCAAGAGACTGAGGTAATTATACCCAGTTTGTGGTGTGTTGAGCACAGATAAAGTCCCCGCTCTTGCTTTTATCTTTTCTCTCTGCTCCTTCCCCAGTCACAGCCAGCCACTGTCATCTACCACATTTAATATATATCCTTTAAAATGTGTAGTCTGCTGTTATGTATATGTGTATATAGTTTACAAAAGTGACATTGTGCTGTAGATCTCGTTCTACTTCTTACGTTTTTCAATCAACAATATGGTTTTAAGATCTAACCATGTTGTAGTATGTGTATCTGGAGTTCATGCTTTAAACTATAACAAAGTTTTCCATATTGTCTATTTCCCAAATTTTACTTGTCCATTTCCCTAATTATGCAGATCTAAGCTGTCTCCCACTCCTTCCTACCACAGACAACACTATGACATGCATAGTACATGTGCCTTTAGACACAGATGTCACTGCAAGTTCACCTCTGGGATGTTTCCACCCAGTGACAGGATTACTGAGTCACAGGATAATCAACAGAACTTAAGTTCACTCTATTTTTCAGGATCCTCTCAATACTGTATTAGTGTTTTCATTTCTCACATCCTCAACAATATTTGGTTATTATTCACACGTCTAATTGTTGCCATTCTGATGGATGTACAGTGCTATCCCATTGGTTTTTAAATTTTTCATTCTTTGCTTACTAGTGAGTTTGAGCATCTTTTCACATATTTGTTGGGCTATTTACCTCTGAGTCAAGACTTAGATGTTTTAATGGCCCCAAATCAGTGTTAATGTTAATTTCTAAGCTTGCAGTCCCTTGAAACCTTAAAAACTGTAAATTTGGACCCCTTATCTACACGACACAGATTTGAGTTTTGATTTCCTTTAAATGACACAAACTTCTTTTGTTGTGTTTTAACGATCATTCCCTTGTTTTTGTAGAAGGCAAGAGTCATCCCTTTCAGCTCAGTCCACTGTGTTACCATATGATCCCATCTTGTAAATGTCACCATGAATTTTTTTTTTTTTAAAGTCTAATTAATGTCTGTAACCGAAACCTGTGGTCATAGGGATAGCAAAGGGTTTGAGAGTACCAACAGCAGGAGTGCAATGCTGTTAGCAATGAAGGGCTGCATAACTCATGAACTTGATCCAGATCAGATTAAAAACTGAATTGCTTACCACTAGAAACGTCTCTTATACTCAGAATGAATTTCACGTATTCATAAGTAGGGTTGCTACCATGTTTAACATTTCCTCTTTTTAAATGACAGCAAAACTCAATATGTTTTCCTACTAAAAGAAGACACATACAAAAGTTTACATTTGTAGTTTGCCATATTCTGCAAGATTGTTTCATATGACTATTGTCTTACTTAGGATAGATTTTACAAAAATATTATTTTCTTTCCATGAACATTAGCACTTACATAGCTATCTATGTTGTATCTGCAGAGTGGGGTATCAGCTAGAACATTATTTATATAACACTAAAGCAATTATATAAAAGCTAAAATAATCAGGGTTCATGATAAAGAACAAGATAACGAGGACAGATTTCTTAACACTAGAATTATAATTTGTGAAATTATATTAAATTAAATTAATATATGATCGGCAGATAAATTGTCTCTAACGAGTTAATTTTTATTACTCCTCTGAGCGATTGTTACCTGTCTCTCAAAATCTAAGAATTTACTATTTGAAAAAAAAATCTGTACCTGAGCATGACAAAGGAAATTCCAGAGCAATCTTTTCATAAACTTCATCTTTCTCTTGATCAGGCAGAAGACTTAATAATGTCTTACCCGTGATCTCATCCTTGAGAAGGGAAGAGAGAACAAATTTTGTTATATGTGCTACTACTGTTCACTTCCTCTATCTCCTTGCCTCCAGTAAGTTTATCATCTGCCACACCTCAGCTATCTTACGGTCATACCTCTTGTACCTTTAAAAGTCTGAATTCACATTACCCCGTTTTATGGCCATCACCTCCTATCTTTCTAGTGCACTCATGCAAGTACCCCACCTCTCCAAAAACTATCCTACCCACTGAAACCTGCAGGCCATTCCTGTCACATTTTCACTGTCCATTATCTCCTTCAAATTGTCACATCCCTCCTTATCCAGCTCAGATTTCACAGTTGATCATTATAATCACTCCCGTGTGCTCTTCCTTTCTGACATATTTGCCTAGTAAAAACCCAACTCTGGTTAATTTCACCTCTTCATCTATCCTGTACTTTCACCTATGCAACTGAATGTATACAGAGCAAAACCCACAACCAAGCTGTGTATTATTTAAAATGGGCACTCAGCTCTGCCTAGAAATCGTTCTACATTTCCCTACACAACTCACTCTCCTACTCTTCAACGTGACTATTTCTTGTCTTTTCCTCCTTCTTCAAACCTCCAACACCCCCTAACCCTCCTCATATTCAGCTGGGGAACTCATTTCTTATTTCAATTAAAAACAAAAGGGGAAGTAAACATCAATATCTCCCTGCCACCAAATCTCCCAACCTAGCCGTAGCCAGAGACCTGCTTTCCTTCCTATTCCAATGAATAAGCTTCTACCTATGTCTAGTGCACTGCTTCTCATTCTCTGTCATCTATTCCAGGACATCATTCCAGAAATTCTCCCCTAATCCCCACATCGGCAAGCTGTCCTTCTCTTCTAGGTCTTTCTCATAGCATGCAAATGTTATATCAGAGATGTTATAATATCTGTCATCTTAAAAACAAAAAAGTACAACATTCCAAAAATCCAAAACCTTCTTTGACACTACATCCTCTCCTCCAGCTTGAACTACTTCTCTGGTCCACTTTAGAACAAAAATCCTTGAAAGGAACTTTACTTGCTGTCTCCCACTTCTTCACCTATCACTCTCCCTTGAAACCACGCTAATCAGATTTTTATCCTAACCGCTCCACTTTTGTCAAAGTCGCCAGTGACCTCCACATTGCCAAATCCAATAGTCAATTCTCAACGTTTATCTTACCTAACATCTCAGCATTTGATACAACTGACCCCTCCTTCTTCCTTGAAATACTTTGTTTACTTAGCTTCCATGTCACCATATACATATGGATATCCTTCTGCTTCAAAAGCTACTCCTTCACAGTTTTATTTGCTGGATTTTTCTCCTCTTCCTGACTACTTGGCTTGGCGTTCCCAGGGCCTAGTCATTGAACCTCTTCTCTTACTTTACTGTCTCCCTGGGTAATCTCTTCTAGTTATATCCCATTAAATATCATCTATCTGTTAATGACTCTCAACTTCTCATCTCTAGTCCAGACTTCTCCCTGAACTTTTCTAGATAACTCAACTTGGATATCTAATAGGATTTCAATTTTAAGATATCCAAAACAGTGCACCTATCTTTCCTTCACAAAACATGCTCTTCCTTCGGTCTTTCTCATTTCAACAAACAGCCCCACCATTTACCCACATGCTTGCCCTCGACTTGCCTTGCCTCGACTCTCAAACCCCAAATCCAGTCTATCAGCTAACTCTGCGGTTCTACCTTCAAAATACATACATAATTGGTCTACTTCTCACCACTTGGTGTAAACCATCATCTCTAGCTTAGATTATTGCAATAGTCTTAACTGGTCTCCCTGAATCTATTTTTGCCACATCCCTGTTCTCACTCCATTCTCCACAGAGCAGCTACCGTGATCCATGTGAAACATAAGTCAGATCAAGTCATTCCTCTGCTCAACATTTTCCACTGGCCACCCAAGTCATTCAGAGTAAAAGCCAAGGAAATTAACAATGGCATTTACAGCTCTATGTTCTGGTTCCTTACTGCCTATTGACTTTAGCTCCCTCCCATTCTCCCTTGTGCTCACTGCACTGCAGGTACACTGAACTTCTTGCTCAAATGCAAATACATCTAACAAATAGTCATCTTGGGGCCCCTAAACTTGCTTTTCAATGTGAAACACTCTTTCCTAGATATTTGTAATGACTTTCTCCCTTATTTCATTTAAGTCTCTACTGAGAAGTATTTTAAATAGCACCAATTCTCTGACATTCTCTTCCTGCTTTTTTTTCATACCACTTATCATACCTGACACTATAATCACATGTATATGTTTATCTGTTTATTATCTGGCTCCCTCAGTAAAATGTAAATTGCATTAGACCAGAGACCTTGGCTGTTTTATTCACTGCTACATCCTCAACACCTAGAACACAGCTTAGTACAAATGAGCACTTACTGAATATTAGTTGACTGAAGGGATAATGCTATACCATTTAGCTGAAATATGGTGACACATGGATAAATTGAATATTAGACATTAAGTAGAGTTTTTAAAGTGATAGGAAAAAAGCAATAAACAAAGTAGTCTTAGCTGAATAATGGCTTCGGGTAACGAACCACAAAGTCAAATTATTTTTAACTGATTAATATTAATAATCTTAGTCAAAATTCAGAAATACATTATTATGACTCATTTGTAGAAGCCAGTCTATGAGTTGGCCAGTGCTCAGATTAGCAGATAGATCCTGTCTCAATCAAGAAAAAGCTTGGCTCAATTCAGGACAGAAATATTACCTTAATTCACCAAACAAAATGTTATGAAATTAACAGGCAATGAATTTTGACAATGAAAGTTGCACAGTAAGAAACTGACTTCCCAAAAGAAATATAGATATTTTTCATTAAACTTAACTTTTTCAATAAAAATGCTTCATTGGTTTAGTTATAAAATAAACTTTAGGTACCAAACCAACTTATCTCTGCTCAGTAGAGACCACGCATTCATTCACTCATCTAACACATGATTGACAACTGCTCTGCACCAGACATTGTCCTATATATATTCACGTGAACTAGCTCTTAATACCTTGCAAGAGGAAGTATTACCCTTATTTCATTCAAGAAGAAATTAAAGCTTGTCCAGTTGTTAAGAGGTCACAAGTTCAGAGACGAGATTCACACCTAGCTCCATCCAACTCCATGTGCACTGTTCCTTCCACTACACCATAGCTGCCTCAATTCCAATTTGTACCAGGAGCAGCCAATTTGCTACTGGGCCAGTTTCCGCATTTTGGGCATTCTACATGAAGTAGTTCATTTATATTCTTTTTACTGTCAGTGTTAATGTTAATTTCTAAGCTTGCAGTTCCTTGAAACCTTAAAAACTGTAAATTTAGACCCCTTATCTACACGACACAGATTTGAGTTTTGATTTCCTTTAAATGACACAAACTTCTTTTGTTGTGTTTTAACGATCATTCCCTTGTTTTTGTAGAAGGCAAGAGTCATCCCTTTCAGCTCAGTCCACTGTGTTACCATATGATCCCATCTTGTAAATGTCACCATGAATTTTTTTTTTTAAAGTCTAATTAATGTCTGTAACCGAAACCTGTGGTCATAGGGATAGCAAAGGGTTTGAGAGTACCAACAGCAGGAGTGCAATGCTGTTAGCAATGAAGGGCTGCATAACTCATGAACTTGATCCAGATCAGATTAAAAACTGAATTGCTTACCACTAGAAACGTCTCTTATACTCGAAAAGCACATTCTTCTTTGGAGATTGCCTTCAGGGGCAGTTTACAAACCACATACACACACACACACACACACACACACGTACACGTACACACAGACACACACAAAGTGTTTCATTACCTCATATCAGTTTCTTTTTATAGATTTAAAACTGAAACCAATGGAGAGGACAATCAAACAGGTGCACATTTTCACAACATTGAGAACGTCTTCTCTGGTGAGTTATATGCTCCTGAAAACAAATAATGAACCCTTAAGTAGCAAACCCAATGATCCTTTCCCAAAAGCTGGAAGAACTTACTGAAAAATAGCCAAGGAGAGAAGAGATATTTCCATCCACGAAAATTATCACTCCATCTGTGCTCAGTATTATCATAAATCCATCTAATGACTAATGAAGAGAGAATGATAATGTAATTAAATAGTGGAACAATAATAAAATGATAACTTTATTTCTAAATGCATAAATAATTACAGTAACACACTGAAAATGTATTGTGGTCCTTAAATATCAATAAGGCAGGCACAGACTTAATTAAAATTCCATTATTCTGCCTCCTACACAGAATCTACTTAACCTTAAGCATGAGATGTTTATCAAATGATGTGCCACTTAGACAAACAAATTTTAATGTACACCCAATTAACAAAAAACTCTCCAACACAAACTAGGAAGATTCATTTCCGTATGTAGGTTGTTTCACATTTAATTCAAAGTTAATTTCAAAAACGCTAAGAATATTTTGGAGGGCATTTTCATTTGTAGTTAGTTGAGTCATCCACCGATAAACATGGATATTGCCATCACCTTGCTGCTATATAGTGGATTAGATAGCCAGACAAATGCTTCCTGGTAGCGAACACCTAACATGACGAAGAAAATATATAAAAATTTATTATTTCAAAACAGGACTGAGCTTATGGTAAAGTAAGGGAAACAATCTGATATCAGAAATGGCTAGAACATGGGAATGAAGAGGTAAGGGGATATCGGAGCCTGTACTTGCCACGGGAATATCTGTACAACACTGATGGCATAGAGCTTAGGGGACAGAAAGCAAAGCTGCCTGCACAAGGTGGGAGGTAAAATCAAAGACTCCTGCATAAAGCCAGGCCTCCCAAAGGAAACACTCTCAGCAGGCAAAATAGAAAGATCTTATCCCGCAAAGAGAGACAGGGAATGTGCATGCCTGCCTCAGCCTCAGCTCTGGCTAGAGAAGAAAAGAAAAACCAGTCTCATCTGGGAATTGCTAAACAGAAGCCAACACACACACAAATTTGGAGCTGAAATTCACATACTACCTGTGTAGCCCTCAACACCGCAAGCCTATTGTTTAGTTTAAAGTTGTCCTGACCCCAGATAACTAGTGAAAACAATCGAAATGATCTCTTGAGAATTATTTTAAAACCAGGGCTCAAAGAATTCATGCAGATAAAGTTCCAAATAGCATGGACTTATAATAAAATATTAATAAACACAGGAAGAAATGAAACATAGTGAACAAGAGGCCATATGAACAATAACATGCAGATTCAGATTGACAAACAGTAGATACTGGAATTATCAGAAATAGAATATAAAATAAATATGCTTAGTATGCTTAAATAAATAACAAATGGTATTGAAGATATGATGAAGGAACAAGAGACTCAAAACTGACCAAGCAGATATGAAAAATAATCAAACAAAATGTCTAAAAATGATATCACCAAAAATAAAAATTCAATGTATGAGTTAAATAGCATGTTAGAACATAGCTGGAAAAACAATTTTTGAATTGGAAGATAGAGCTCAAGAAATGACTCAAACTGCAACACAAAGAGACAGAGGAATGAAAAATGAGAAATTAAGTGACATGGAGAAGAGAGTGAGAAGGAGTACTTTCACCTTTTACAACATGTTCACTTTATTTCTCACAACTCAGTGAAGTAGAGATATTTTTACCCATTTTACAGAGGAAGAAATCAAGGTTCAGAGACAGTAACTTTCTAAAGGACACAGAGCAAGTAAGCGACAAAGGCACAATTCATGTCCCTATCTGTTTGACTCAAAAGACCATGGTCATTCAGGCTTTAGTTTGTGGGTTTTGAACTTAGCGAAATTAACCAGTTCCCTTGGAGAAAGAAGCCATAAACACCTCATGTCCTTGAGGAAAAATATAAGACTTGAAGGCTTAACAATCTATGCTGAATGAGTACCATACAATTACTTACCTTGCCACTAATCTATGCAAAGACTTGTTCGTATTTCTTGTCATTTGAGATCAGTGGTTTTCAAAACTCAGTTGGCATAAGCAGCATCTGGAGAGCCTGTTAAAAATGTAGGCACCTAGCCCCTACTAGGATTGAGATTCTGATTCAGACAGTTTAAGGTGGGTCCCAGGAATCTGCATTTTTACCAAACTCCTTAGGTAATTCTGCTATGCATGGCCTCCTAGCCACATTTAAACATTATTCTTTATCTTCTATTGCACATATTCTGCATACTAAGCAATCAAAGAACAAAACCCCTCTTACTTGTAGCGTCATATGGTTGAAGTCTTCATAGGTGTGGAATGATGGAACCCAATTAGATTGCTCTCTAGAGCTTTCTGGACTGTCTTTGTCTTTTTGCAAAAAGGAAGAAAAGACAGAAAACTGTGACATTAAAATTATTAGCTATGGGTATTAGACTTTTCAAAGTTATAATTAATTTTATAGAAAAGACTCTCATGAGAAAATACTGAGTGCTAATGAAGGATCTGATGTAGACTAACTAATTGCTTATAAATTATCATAAACAAAGAAGTGTTTGGAATTGAAAAATATCTTGAAGATCATCCAACTCAGTTTCTACTAAGCACATTATGACCTCTCCAACAACTTATGATTTTCCACCTCCAGTTATTTCCTTTTCTTTGACTTGTTAAAGTCTTCTGAATTCTACCAAAACCCAGTATTCATAATACGTCAGAGAAGGTACAGGCTGTGTCAAGGGCTCTGGGCATATCCAGACACCTAAAATCTCCCCAACGCCTGGCTGCAATAGGGAATTCCATGATTTAGTTTGACCCAATTAAGCTTTTAGCAAGGGCCCTTAACTAGAAAATCTTTAAGCCCTATCTTGTATCTCTTCAAAGTTCTTGATGCTGTTCTATCTCCCATCCATCCTTCTCCATTCTTCGAGGTTTTCTCGTTTTCTCCATGAGCAGTATTTCTGCTCCTGTGCTCACTCAGAGCCTTTGCTATCAACATCTGGCCCTCTCCATCTCCCCCAATCCCACCTACTCCGCTGACTTCTCTAACTCAGGGACCCCACTAACACAGCCCTCTAACCTCCAGTTATTTTAATGCATATCAATAAATGTTAGTTTCTTCTCCTCACGGAAAAGTTAGAGACCCATGGCATACAGATCAGGGTTAGAGACCCTGATCTCTATTAAAAACATTAAACCCCTAACAAGGATAATTCTGAGAGCAGCACTTGCTTTCTTAGTGGGTATGAGTCTCAGATCCTTTCCTATGAGTAGATTCAGATAAGAAGGAGGCCAGGCATGAGCAGGAATGCTCCAGAACCCTCACTAAGGAGGGAATGAGAAGAGGGCATGTAACTTCATGGGAAGTAGAAATAATATGAAAAAGAAACCACACCAATTACACAACTGCCTCAAAGTCAGTGTGCCTGACAACTGCCCCTGCCTGGAAACTCAATTCTGGTCACAGTTCTTCAAACTCAGGATACAACCTATGACACTCTCCCAAAGCCAGTTTCTGAAGTCGCTTCCCCATTGACTTTCGGCTCCACCTAGTGACTTTCATCTCCCATACTCCATTTTTTATTTCCAAAGAAATAAAAATGACAGAAGAAAGTCCATATATTTCCAAGAAAAGAAAACTACTGTATTTTATCACTCAATCATCAAAGGCTTTTCTACTTACTACTACCCGGGAACTTGTGCTTGTTTGGCTTCCAGGGCAGGCGCCATATCCAGTTCTTTGCTATAACCCCAGTGCCTTGCACAGTACTTAACTCGTAATAAAGATTTGGTAATTCTTGTTAAACTGAACCTCATTCATTCATTTACTTAACTGATACTTACTGAGTTCCTACTATGTATCCTACTCTGTTTTAGAGGCTCAGCATACAGTATGAACAAGACAAATAAAGTGACTGTCTTTTTGTGTCTTACAGACTTGAGTGAGGGGGAGACAGATAATCAACACATAGACAATGGACCTGATAGTTTCATGTATCTTTAAGTGCAATAATTTAGAGTGGGTGATCAAGGAAAGCCTTGCTGAGAAGGTAACATCTGAGCCAAGATCTGAAAGACCGGAAGACCCGGGAGTAAAGTACCTCAGACAGAGGAAGCAGTAAGTACAAAGCAAGGCAGGAAATAATTTGGCCTATATGAACAACAGACAGGAAGCCAAAGGAGCTATAGTAGGGTGACCAAGAGACAGAGTAGTAGGAAATAAAGTCTGAGAGTTAGGCAGGGCCAGATCACGTAGGGTATATGGTAAGGAGTTGATATTATTCTGAGTACAACATGAAGTGCTTTTAAGCAGGAGAGTGACATATATTTTTAAAAGATCAGTGTGGTTGTTTGTGGAAAACAGATCAAATTGGGGAGCAAGGGTGGAAGGAGAGAGTCTAATGAGGAAGCTTCCTCAAAAGTAACAGATGATGGTGGCCTGGATTAAGCTGGTACACCAAGGCTATGGAAATGGGGAGAAGAGAATGGATATGACATATATTTTAGAGGTAAAGCCAAAGGATTTGCTGATGGATAGGGTGAGGAGGTGAGAGAGATAGAGGACACAAGAATGACTTTTAGATTTTTAGCTTGAGCAGCTAGAAGAATGACTGATGGTACCAGTTTTTGAAATGGGGAGAACCAGGGGTAGGGGTGCGAGAGGCAATGGAATGGAGAGGGATCAAGAGCTCCTTTAGGGCCATGTTAACTTTCCTGTTAAATATCCAAGTGAAGAAATCACATAGGAAACTCTCTTGCTGATTTAACAATGAGTACGATTCTCAAGTGTGGCGCTCAGGTAGGAGGACAGGGTCAGAGAGATTTAAAAAGTAGGGGTCACTGACATCCAGGTAGCACTTCAAATTAAGGGACTGGATGAGATTACTTGCGAAATGAGTGTAGATATAGAAGAGAAAAGGTCCAAGGACTGAACCCTGGGGCACATCAATGTTTGGAAGTTGAAAGGGGAAGTAGGCGGATGCAAGGAAAGACGGAGGAGTGGCCAACGAGCTAGGAGAGAAATCAGGTGAGTGTATTATCCTGGAAGCCAAGAGAAAAGTGATTCAAGAAGGAGGGAGTTAAATCAGGCAATATTTGTCTTTCTCTGGCTTATTTCGTTTAACATCATACCGTCAAGGTCCATCCATGTTGTTGCTAATGGGATGATTTTGCCTTTTTTATGGCATGATTTCACTCATATGTGGAAGATAACAAACACATGGATAAAGAGAACAGATTAGTGGTTACCAGAGGGGAAGGAGGTTGGGGGGGGTGGGCAAAAGGGACAAAGGGGCACATATGTATGGTGATGGATAAAAATTAGACTACTGGGGGTGAGCACGATGAAGTGTATTCACGAAGTGATACACAATAATGTACACTTGAAATTACACAGTGTTATAAATCATTACAATCAAAATAAAATTACTTAAAAAGAAAAAGCAAATAGGAAAATGGGGGGAAAAAAGGAGGGAGTGGTCACCTGTCCAATGCTTTTGAAAGGTCAGGAAAGACGCGGACAGTTAAGGGACCAAAGAATTCACCAATGTGGAGGTCACTCTTATTCCTGACACACATAGTTGTACTGCAGGGGCAGGAGCTCCAGCCACAGTGAAGGGGGATGAGGAAAGAAGGAGGCATGAGGAAGCGGAGACAGAGTCTATACAATCCTTTCAAGAAGTTTTGCTGGGAAGGGGCACATAAACAGGGCAATAGCTGGAGGTATCATGGGGTCAAGAAAGTTTTTTTTAAATAAGAGGTTTTTACAGAATCATTACATGTTTATGGGCATAATCTGCTCACATGTTTTGAGTTAAACCTACTTAAGTATCATAGGTACTATTTTAAATCCTCAAGGCCATGTTTCGCTTAGTAACATTTACCATATGCCTTCAAACGCCTAAGATACAGAAATCTGCATTATTATTGGCCAGTACACTTTTATTAATTCTCATTTCCTTGTTCCACTTTTGTATGAACCTCAATAATATTTTCAGCATTGACCATAAGCAAATTAATGAATGGAGAGAAACTAGATATCTGTGTATTAAAAGGTGCTTCAGGAGACCTTCTGGTCATGAATCCCTCCCAAGAGTGTTTGAAGTAAAGGAGGAGAGCCGGCTGTCTCCCCCACAGCTAATTTCCAATGTGACTAATCAAAAAGCTCTAAGAATGGGTTAGTGGGCTCAAATCAAACCTTCCTTCTGAGACACAGCAGTAGTGCTCTGCGCTGTTTTCACTCTGTCTCCTTTTACGGGATAGCCATGAGTCTGCAGCAGGGTGCGTAGTTTTGCGAAGAGAGCTCTGACATGTTCCTTCTCTTTATTTTCTGATGTATCAGATGCATCCCTAATTGACAAAAAACAATCAGAGTTATTAATGGTAACGGGAGGGCTGGGAATTCAGATGGTGGAACAATGGATGGAAAGCAATAAGAAGAGAGAAAGGGAGATGTTAACGTCAACATCTGAGCAAAAATCCAGTCCCTTTGATCAGTCATAGGACAGCAATAACTGTCAATATTAAAACAAGGAAATGAAAGCCATTCTCATCTCCCTAAGACTGTGAGGCCGTTGAGGGACCAGATCTGTCTCTATGTCTTCCATGGCAAAGCCCAGCACAATGTCTGGCACAGCGGCCTAAGAATTATATAAAATAAGCCCAAATTAATTTGAATTTGATGGTGGGTCTTTGTTCCACCATATATTCTTACCTGTTATAAGAGTACTTCTGATTAAGGAAAATTGTTTCTAAATGATCTGTAATTACTCAAGAGGCTCTCTCAAAGCCAATGCCCCTTCTCAGAGAGAAAGTTGAGCAATCTAATGCTAATTGAGATGTTTTTTACACCTTTAAAAAATGTAGACCATACTGAAAAATTTTGACAAAAACTTTTTGATCAGCACGCCAAAATTTACTTAGATACTTGAACTGAAAAAATAAGGTAATTTGTCTTCTCAAACGTAAATGAATTTAAGCTCTAGGCAAGCCAAGGACCCAAAACAGGCTTCTAAACCTATCAGGGAGTGTAAACCATTTATTTAGTGTCACTCTAGGCAGCCACCATGCAAGGTATGGATGACACAGTTTGATGAGGGGGGCTGTAAGACAACACTGGCAATACACTAAGGATTATAATAGAGCTGGGGCTAGGGACTAGGGAAAATCCACTAGAAAGAACAAATTTCCCTGAACGAGGCAGGTTTTCCCGAGGAAGTAGGATTTTGCTAGATGTGAAATGAGAACAAAGGACAGGGGAGAGGGCTTTGACATAAGTATTAGTCAGTTATGAGTTCATACCTCTGCTCTTTTTCTCTGTCCTCCTCATCCATTATTCAGTGATATAACAAAGAATTCTGAAATCAAAATGGAGCAACTTTACTAAGAAATCAGTCTATGATGAATCACAGTAAAGCAATAAGACTAATCAAAATTCTCAATTGCGTAGCACCTTTCCCTCCAGGAATGCCTACTTCTTTTAAAGATAGAATTTCATTAGTATCAACAATCCTCTCAAATGTTATGTAAATGTTGAACACTTGCTTTATCATATGGTCCCCAATGAATGTTTGTCACAATAATATGACAAATGAATATATTTTTGAAAGAGTTACGAAAACATCCTGTGAAGTTATACAACTTAATCCAAAAGTTAAGCATTTGTAGATTTAATTCCATATCCTAACTTCCTTTAACTTTAATTCTTTTAACTTCAAGAACACTTAATGAAACAAAGACAGATGCGAGTTGAAAGCTTCATATCTAGCCACAATATCATGCCTCCACAGACCAATCTGCATTAATGCTTATATCACAGAAATCCTGGGGATATAGAAAACAGCCCTGAAATCACCAAAGTCCTCTGCTTTGAATTGTATAATTAGACTCAAACATCACCTCAAGGTCAAAGCCTCAAGGTAGAAATAAATGACATTCAAATATATGTGTGTTAAACAAGAAGAAACAGTTAAAATATAGCAAACATCCTTTAAATGCTTTCAAGAAGGTAAGGGAAAGTGCAGGGGTCAAACACTGGGAAGGCACTGAAAACCAAAACCAGTTAGTATACTAACCTGTGCTACTGCAGGGATGGGGATGTATAGCTATGCAACAAAGGAGCGTGGGTACTAAGGCCCTCTTGGGTGAAGGAGAATCCAAGCAGGGAATTGAATCTAAAACCCACCACCTCCTACCTATGTATAGCCAGGATTCCCAGAGGCTACAATGTCATTTAAAAGTCCTCCCACCAAAAAAGAAAGAAAACAAGGAAATTTGTCTGCTTGAGCACATTCTCTGGGTGGGAAAGAAAAGGGTGCTACTGGACTGGATCAACCTTAGGGTTTCAGGAGAAGCAAAGACACTCCCATTCTGAAGAGATACTCTCTAAAGCCAGGTTCCATGGACTTTCCACAGATAAGGCACTGGTGAAAATCAGCTCACCATCCAAAATTGGAAAATACATGAAGAAACAGTCAATCCACCAAATGCCAGAATTAGGACACACACACATACACACCCCAGCAGTATGAGACCTCCAAGAACCTCAAATTAAAATACTTGAAAGCCATTATAAAATACTTGTGTTTAAAAATATTAAAAACTGAATAAATGGAACTGAAAATATGAGAAAAGACCAGGTAGATGCAAAAGAAAACAAAAGAGAAATTTTATAAAGACATATTCAATTAAATTAATTTCAAAAGAATGGATTAAACAATGTATTATCACAAATCTGATGAGAAAATTAGTAAATGGAATACAGATATGAATAAATTTACCATATTGCCTTTACAGAGAAACAATGAAGTGCAAAATATAAAACAAGAGATTATGAAACATAAAGGACAGAATGAGAAAGCCTAATATATATCTAATAGGAGTTCCAGATGAAGAGAACAGCAAGACAGGAGACAGGCAGTGAAGAGATAATGGCTGAAATTTTTCTAGAATGGAGAATGTGCTCCAATCTGGATAAATTAAAGCAAAACCACATCATATGAAAAGATGCTCAACATCACTAATTATTAGGGAAATGCAAATCAAAACTACAATGAGATATCTCCTCATACCCATCAGAATGGCTATAATTAACAAAACAAGCGTTGGGGAGGATGTGGAGAAAAGGGAAGACTCACACACTGCTGGTGGGAATGTCAACTGCGCAGCCATTATGGAAAACAACATGTAGATTCCTCAAAAATTTAGAATAGAACTATCATATGATCCAGCTATTCCACTGCTGGGTATTTATCCCAAGATAATGAAAACACTAAGTCAAAAAGATACATGCACACCTATGTTCATTACAGCATTATTCACAATAGCCAATATGTGGAAGCAACCTAAGTGCCCATCAATGGATGAATGGATAAAGAAGATGTGATACATACACACCACAGAATACTACTCAGCTATAAAAAAAGATGAAATCTTGCCATTTGGGACAACATGGATGGACCTTGAGGGTATTACGCTAAGTGAAATAGGTCAGACGGAGAAAGTCAAATACCATATGATTTCACTCATAAGCAGAAGATAAAAACAATGTCAAACAAACACATAGACACAGAGATCAGACTGGTGGTTATCAGAGGGGAAGGGGGGAGAGAGGAGGGCGAAAAGGGTGATAGGACATATGTGTTCAGTGATGGATAGTAATGAAGTCTTTGGGTGGTGAACATGATGTAGTCTACACAGAAATTGAAATATAATGATGTACACTTGACATTTATGTAATGTTATAAATTAATGTTACCTCAATAAAAATTAATTAATTTAAAAAAACACTTCTAGAAACATCATAGTGAAATTTCAGAACACAAAAGACAGCTAGGCCATTCTAGGCCATAAAACAGATCAACAAATACCAAAGAATAATACATACAGACCATATGCTCTGGCCCTAATGTCACTGTATTAGAAATCAAGAACAAAATGATAATATAAACCTCTATAGACTTGGACATTTAAAACAATAGCAACAACAACAACAAAATTTCCTAAACAGCTCTGGAAAACAGAAAATAGTCAGAATTGAAGTATTGTAAACACGCTACATATTAAAATATGTAAAATGCAGCTAAAGTAATACTGAGGAATTTACATTCTTAAATGCTTATAAGAAAAAAATGAAAATAAATGAACTATGTATCAAAACAAATCATAAAGAGTAAAGCTAAATAGAAGAGAAGCAAGGAAATAATAAAGATAGGACCAAAAAATAACACAATAAAAAATAAAGATAAAATAGAACAGATCAAAAAATCAGTTTCTTAAAAAATAAAATAAAATAAAAAACATTGTTGTACCAGATCAATCAAAAATAAAGAAGACACATTTTGGAACAAAAAGTGCATACCTATGAATAAAAGAGATGGTAAAAGCAGTATGATCAACTCTATGCCCTTAAATTTGAAAACAGAGACAAAATAGAGGATTTCCTAGAAAAAAGTATTTTACTCAAACAATAAAAAGAAAATTGAAATAAATCCTATAAATGCAAAGAAATTAATTCAGTGATTAAAGATTTATCCACAGAAAAATGACTTAACCAAACCTAAAAAACACAGCTCCAATGGTTTCACAGATGGGTACTTCCAAAGATTTTAATAACAAGTATCTCATATTTCATCCAAATTATGCCAGAAAACAGATAAAGAGAGAAGATATCCATCCAATTCATTGTATAATGCTAGTACATTCTTTATACCAAACCAGAATAGGGTAGCATTAGAAAACTTTATAAGCCAATTTTATTTATGATCCAGATTCAAAATCCTAAGTAAAATTACCAAACCCAAACCAGCACAGTATTTAAAAATTTGAGCTAATTCCAGAAATATCGGGATAATTTCACATCAGAAAAAAATATAATTCAACATATCAGACAAAAACAGAAAAAGAATGTGATCATCCCATAGATGCAGAAAACACATTCGATATAATTCAGTATACATACATGATTTTCAAAAATGTTCTTAACAGACTAAGTATAGACAGGAACCTCCTCAACCTGATAAGGGGAATCAATCAAAAGCATACAAACATCAAAGTGAAAAGTGGAACATTAGGGGCTGGCCCGGTGGCGCAGCGGTTAAGTGTGCACATTCCGTTCAGTGGCCCGGGGTTCGCCGGTTCGGATCCCAGGTGCAGACCTGGCACCGCTTGTCAAGCCATGCTGTGGCAGGCATCCCACATATAAAGTAGAGGAAGATGGGCAAGGATGTTAGGTCAGGGCCAGTCTTCCTCAGCAAATGAGGAGGACTGGCAGCAGATGTTACCTCAGGGCTAATCTTCCTCAAAAAAAAAAAGTGGAATATTAAAGGAATTCTTTAGATTCAGGGAGAAAAACAAGAATGGCTGCTAAAATATTCAATATACAGTGCTAAAGGTACTAACTAATGCATTAGGATAAGAAAAGTATATAAAACAAACAACACTTGGAAAGGAAAAACAAAGCAGTCCTCATTCATGAACACTATGCTTATCCACATAGGAAATCCAAGAGATTCTACAATTTACTAGAAATAATAAAATAGTTCAGCAAGGTTGCTGTATATAAGATTAATATTTAAAAATTAATTTTGTTCCTATAGAACAGCAACCAAAATTAGAAAATATTTTTTAAAGATACAATAGCAACAAAAATTTATAGAGACTACTGCTTATGGCCATGGAATAACTGATACAAGAATAGTCCTCCTGCCATGAACAACTAGGACACTAGAAAAATTTTAGGAAGTTCATGTTTCGATATATTGGAGAGAAGGCAGGATATGCCTGTGATCCCTGAGGTAAGAGGAAAAATGAAATGAGCCCTACAGCAATCCCCACTTTCTACCTAAAGTTACTCCCAGACCACAGTCCAGGGGGCACAGTCCCAAGCAGAGTACAGCAATCTCACTAAAATTAGTACACAGAAATAAGTTCAGCAATGCCACGTTGGATGGAATTTGTGGAGAATGTCAGAAAGAAAGGAGCTATGGCAAAAAAAAAAAAAAAAAAGCTCCAGAAATGTGAATCCAGGTTCTCTTGAATCTCTGGCTGAATCCTAAGTTGTGCCTGTGCAGGGTGACACTCTACAAACAAGACCAATCCAAGAACAACAACCAGGGAAAGGACAAATACTATAAATCCAAAACGCACTAACAATCACAGTTTACACAGGGCTGGAAGACAATGAAGTTTCACCCAGCAGAGTGGAGAAAAAAGACTGAAAAAAATGAACAGAGCCTCAGTGTGGTACAACATCAGGCAATCGAAAATACATGTAACTGGATTCCCAGAAGGGGAAGGCAAAAAATATATATGAATAATGGCCATTTTTTCCCATATTGGATGAAAAATAAACTCATAT